TGTACAGTCCTCTCTATTCCCTTTCAGTAATCACTATCATCCCATTATTTTCATTCATTTTATGTATGTGTTTTTAAAATATTTCCTATATGGATGTCCTATACATTCATCTAAATGTTTTGTTTTTATTAAAATTATTTAACACCATTCCATTAAGAAATATTAATTTCTTTGGCTTTCTTTTCATTAACTCTATGTGTGTATCTCCATGATAGTAATCCCTCTACTTTTCTCCTGATTTTTTTTGCATTATATCTTTTATTCCTTATGTTCTACAGCCCAATGATATTAGCTTTGCCTTTCTCTGTTACACAGATCATTTGCGAGGTTTTTTTAAAGAAAGTAAAACCAACACCAATACTTCCCCACCCCAAATTCATGTTCTTGTATGACCCTAGCCATCTAAAAGTAATATTTTATTTCTTAATATTACTCTCCTGTATCCTTTCTTTACTTTCTGTTATTACATTTTGAAAGTATTTGACTTTCTGCTAATTGGTTAGTTTTCGTGTTGCATGCCTCAATTTCTTCTAGATTCTTTTGTAGGAATTAGCTGGAATTAAATGGATTTACGAGCAAAAACAGGGGTCCTACCAAATTCCATGATATAAATATGGTCTTGATACCAAAAACCAAGGAGGGTCTAAGGAGAAAGCTATAGACAGATAAATATCTTTAATAAATACTCACAAAATTTTAAATAATATATTAACAAAGAGTCTACAGTAATATGTCAAAAAGACTATACACTATGACTGTGATGGGTTTATATCTGCAAATGCAGAGTTAGGTCAATACCTGTTAAAATCTAAAGATAATAGATCATATTAATAACAGTATTAACAAAAAGCACCAATAGATAATAAAAAGCTTTTGACAAAATATGAAATCTGTTTCTGATTAAAAACACTAGAAAACATAAGAATAAATAGACCTCTCCATAAAATACTAAATAATATATACCTAAAACCAACAGTTAGTAGTATATGTAATGGGTACAGACAAGAAGCCTTTTGATTAACATGAAGGGGAACATAAGTATCACTACTACAATTTAACACAATTCCAGAAATGCCAGTTATATAAATTAGAAAAGAAAAAGTAATTGAAAGAATAAGCATAAACAAAGAGGAAACAAAAATAATCTCTTTTTGCAAATATCTGAAACCTAGAGTCAAGTAAAAATTAAATGAATTAATTGGTAACTTTGGCAAAGTCACAGATATAAAATAAATTCACATAAATCAGTATATTTTAAACAAAACTTAGCAGGAAGATAAAGAAAAGGAAATTCAAATTCAAAGATGTCTCAACACAAATATACAATCACCATAATCAATCATATAAATAATAAAGATTTTAAAAGTGCATGAATATTTCAATAGATACAGAAGAAGGGATTGATAAAATATAGTATTCATGCAGAAACAAAAACAAAAACCCTAAACATGAAAGGCACAGAAGGGCTTTTTGTTAATATGATCAAAAGACTTCATTTAAAACAAAGATTCTTTGACAAGCAGGATAATTTCAGAATGACAAGCAGGACAGTTTCAGAAAAATCTGGAAAGACTTGCATGAACTGATGCATAATGAAGTCAACAGAACCAGGAGAATGTTGTATACGGTAACAGCAATATTGTTCAGTGAAGAACTGTGAATGACAGCTATCTCAACATGCAACGATCCAAGACAATCCCAAAGGACTAATGATGAAGCATACTATCTGCCTCCAGAGAAAGAAATGATATTGATTGAGTACAAACTTGAAACCTGCCATTTTTCACTTTCTTTCTTTTTTATTTTATTTGAGTCTTCTTGTACAAAATTACTAATGTGGAAATGTTTTATATAATTGCACACTTATAATCTATATCTGATTGCTTACTGTCTCAGGAAAGGAGAGGAAAGAGGGAGGAATAGAATTTGGAACTCAAAACTTAAAAATGATTAAAAATTTTTTTAAAAAACCCTAAGACTCTTCATTGCTTTAAAAGATTAAACACTGAATAGGGATTCTTTATCTGTGGTCCATGAACTTTAATAGATATTTGCATTTCTATATAATTGGCTTGTAATCCTAAGTATTTTATTTTATGCTTTTAAAAACATTATTCTAAGAAAGAGTTCATAGATTTCACAAGACTACCAAAGGGATCCATAATGCAAAAAAAAAAATTAAGAATTTCTTTGCCTGAAACCTTTTCAGTGTGATCAAGAGTAAAGCAATATACTCCCTTTCCTGAATATCATTTGGCATAGTTTTGAAAGTGCTAGTTATTGTAATAAGACAAGAGAATAAAATCAAAGAAACAAAAAGTTGGTAATGAGGAGACAAAACTAAACTTAAGATGGAGTGCTAATGCACCTAGAAAATCCTAGTTATAGAAACTAATGGAGATAATGACCAAAAAATTAATAAGATAAATAAATCTACAAAAATCATTAGCATTTCAGTGCAATATTAAACAAAATCAAGAAGAAACAATAAGAACTTCATAATAACTAAATATTGCACAAATTGCTAAGGTACATGAAATATTTAAATTGCCATGAAAACTACTTAGAAACAAAAAATGGAGATAATCATTGTTCATAGTCGGCCATCAATATAATAAAAATTGATTTATTACTTAAATTTAGTGCTATGCCAATTTAATCACTATGGAAAATTTTTGTAACTAGATATGATAATAACAAATTTCATTTGGAAGAACCAAAAGTCCAGAATCTTATGGGAAATAATGAGAAAAAAGTATAGATGAAGGGGGATGGTGTCACCAGACCTCACACTATATTAGTAAACAGTAATAATATAGAATTGTATTGTTCCAATTAAAAAACAGATAAATAGAACAGTGGAACATACCAAATCAGCAAGAAACAAAATCATTCTAAACAGGAGTTCAGTATTTGATTATATTATCCTCAAAATACTTATACTATGGAGACAAAAGTGGGATTCTTAGGATCATAGATTTAGAGTGAAAAATTATTTCAGTGGTTATACAGCGGTTATATTTTCACTTCCTACATAAGGATATTGAGGCCTAAAGAGTTTAAGTGACTTGTCCAAGATTAAGTCCAGATTCTTTGAATCTAAATCCAGTGTTCATTCTTTATCCACTTGGTCTTCCCTGGGTGAATAGTTAGACCAATTACGTACATCATTTACAAGGCTCAACAATATTCTGAAGCTTAGTAGTTATCTAAAGTCCTTATCATCCATAGGGATCTTCTATTTTGACTATGTCTGACATTGTGATTCAGCAAATCAGTCAAAAAATATTTTTAACTACCTACTATGCACCAGGTGCTGTGTTAGAATATATATAATAGCAAGACTCTGACAAAATACACACACATGATACATACATATGAATCTTTCACTATACATTTTTATACATATATATTCTTTTTTGATGCCTTCCTTGACATAATCAGAGGTTCATAGTATAAAATTTTGTTTGTTGTTTTATTCTTCACATAATCTTCTGAATTTAACAAATACATACGAGATGCTGAGTTGAAGGAGAGTCTCTAAGGTTGCATTCTGCTCTACCAATTAAAAAATTCAATAAACAATAAGCACAGTGGAGTCTTGTAGTCTGTATTTATTTTAGTCAACTGTGTGGCTGTAAAGAGGCGGTCTATTGGAGGAATTTTTTGGTCCTGTTCTTACCAGGGTAGAAACTTCTACTGATTCAGTTTGACATAGTAACTAGCATACAACATTTAGTCAGAGATTCTTTGACTTATCACTCTTACTCATCCTATATACCTAATTAGTTGCCAAATCATATTGTTTCTGCCCCCACAATATCTCTCATATCAATTCCCTTCTACTCTCACAGCTGTAACCCCAGTTCAGACTCTCACCACCTCTTGTGTGGGCTATTACAATAGACTGCTAATTAAGCTCCTTGTTTCAAGTCTTTGTCCTTTCCAATCTATCCTTTACAGAATTCTCAAAATGATTTTCTTGACTGCAAGTCTGACTCTGTCACTTCCCTGCTCTGTAAACTCCAATGGCTACCTACTAACACTAGAATAAAATATAATTTTAGCTTTAACTCATCCTTTTAAAAAATTTATATTTCAGTGTAAGTTTTACAAAGTACATAATTATTAGTATAGTAGCACTATATGAAAATAATGCATAAATAAGGAAATATACTGAAATTGGGATTTTTTTTTGTTAGCACTTTTTTTTTTATTGTTAGCACTGTGTGATCAAAAAAATTTGGAGCCAACTAACATGGAAAAGACAGACACTAAGTATTTCTGGGCAAAAGTGTAAAAGAAACCGCATTTTAGGTACATTAATCTGCCCGGAAGAATGAAAGTAAGAAGTAAAGAGTAGACATATAGAGAACAATTAGCAGTCTACTGCAAATGTCAATATATATTCACGAGTTCAGTAAGACTTGGTCTATGGAACAGAATGTAAACTTATGCAAGTGCTATGACTTACTCCTTGGTATAAAACAAAATCTCGATATAAATACTAATTTACTATGGATTCATCTTTAATAAACAGGTGAAAATACTATTAAAAATAACCACCAGAAAAGCCCTCACTTTTTATAGGTGAAGAAATTCAGTCCCAAAGAATGGTTAAGTGATTTTCCCAGGGTCACATAGGAAGTAAGTTTGTTGAATTGAATTAAATTGATCCTCACTTGAATTGTTAGCTCAGGTTCTGTCTTTTATCAAAAATTATATTGTATCAGCATGTTCACTATAATAGGAAATTTGGGGTACTGTAATTTAAAAATAAGTAGCTTCCAACTGGCAGCTTTATTTATCTGGAAAAAATGTCAGTAAATAAATCTTTTACACTTAGTGTTTCCTTAATTATCCAGGATGCCACAAAATTGACCTACTTATTTTAATAGAAGGTAGCAAGATATTTTCTTACTTGACAGAAAAGCTTAAAAACTTTCCAGTGTTCTCTCTATATATTCTCATTCCACATTCTGATTCTTCTATTCCAACGAGCTCACTTGGAGCTATGGAGACAGTGAAAAGAGGTCTCTTCATCTATATTCTGAATGTAGGTAGGGATCCATTAAAGTAGTCTCTTTGGTGATATCTGATTTTTTTTCAATTATCCAATAGAATTTGCAATGAATTTCAAATAAGAAAAAGAATAGTGTTATACTGAGAACTACTCAAGAGTGCTATTCTACTATCTGTTTATATTATTAATTTATATTTATAATTTATATAATTAATAATTTTGACCAAGGACTGGGGAAAATAATGATGATGATTTGGCAAAAGGGATGGTAACTTGGTTTCTGATGATTGTACTGCTTTACCTGCAATTCAGCCTCCAGTGATCACTTTTTTCCTCTCCCTAGGAGGCTGCGAAAGCAAGCATTTGAAACAGGCACAAAGTTATGTGAGAAGATTGAGAAGGATGAGATCTCTACCCTGTCCCACAGGTATGAATCTCTACTTTTCTTTACTTTGAAAATGGCTTCTTGTCAGTCATTTTGGCAGAGAATGGCAGCATGGGATTTTGAACTAGGGCTGTCTGCCATATAGGGTAGTTGCATCAGCCTTTAAAAACTGAGCTCTTGGGGTTCTAGTGGCAACAGTCTGTGTTTCCAATTTCAGCAACTCAGAATCAATGTGAATGGCAAGACCTGATTTATGGCTAGAAGCTAACAGCTTTTTAAACAGTCTCATCAGCCATTTAGCCAGACAGAGGTAGGATTTTTCCTCACACCACTCTCCTCTTAATTTCACTATTGTTATCTAGGATCTGAACCATGAATATCAGACACCATCACCTTACTTGCCCCCTACTGTCTTGAGTCCTACTCATGAAGAGGAGTCAGTGTAGGGAGAGTGCTTTAGGACTATTCTTCTGGAACTTTGAAATAAAATGCTGAGAAAGCCAAAAAAAGGCAGGGGGAGGTTGGAAGACCTTTGGACAGAAGTTCCTCACGTAGGGAATTCTTGACAATTTTCCTTGAATCTTTTGCTATGTGTAATAAACCACATGGTTGTAGTGCACTAAGCAGCTGTATCCTGTGAGTGTGTATTTGTAGAGTTGGAGAGGGGTGTTGCTTAAGAAGGTAAATTCCTAACAAAGGATGAATGATGCAATAGCGTTTTCCTGATTATTGAATAATTCTCAACCATATTCATCACTTCCAGTCTATGGTCAGAATACAAACAGTATAGATTCTAATTCCCCTATACCTGTTTTCTAAGAAGCACACAGAGCCATTGGGTTTGGTAGGGTAGGAGACTAGTAATACATGTGCACCAGAGACTGATGAAATAATTTGGGGAGGATTTGTGTTCAGTGCCCCCTGGTGGCCAAAAGAAATTACACTCTTGCTGGATAATTTAATAAAGTGGCATCCTGCCTTCCTTTTGTCTTTGGGAAGGCACCTCATAAGCTGATGTGGGCTGCTATTGTTGCTGCAGCACTCTAGTTATTATATTAGTCACCCATTAAACAAATGCATGACATAACTTATGTTACATTTATTTATGCTTTTGTATAATTTTCATTTTACATAAAGGTTTTATCTTAGGATACACTAGTGTTAATTTTAAGAGATCATAACAGATGTCCTAATATTTGAAAAACTACAACTTTTCTTTCATTATAAATATTCACATCTTGACTTAAAAGATACCTATACAAACATGAAATGCCCAAGGGAATAGATTAACATTGACAACTAATTAAGATATACAAATACACAAGAATTTTTGTTAGAGATGAAAAAGTCGTCAATAAGTATTTATTCATTTTGATATCTCAGATACACATATTCAAAGCAAATGATGTATAGTTACTATTTAAGTACCAGAGTGAAAAAGTTTTTTAATGACATCTTTATACTCCTGAAGAGATAATTCTATAATTATACTACTAAAGAAATTATTACTATACAAAAAAGGGCCAATTGATAGATTTGCTTTTTCTCTTAATGCGGTGGCTATCAGAAGTGTGTGATCCATGGACTCCTAAGGCTTCCAAGATGCTTTAAGGGGTTTATGAAGTCGAAATATAATAATATGAAAATATTTTCCTATTAAAATTCTCTCTTTTTCCAACTACATATCAGTTTGAGGAATGATTTTCTTCATATACTTCAACCAAAACACTATCTCACAACAGATTAAATGCAGAAGCCAATACAAGAATCCAACTGTCTTCTATTAAGCCAAACATTAAAGAGGTTTGCAAAAATATATAAAATAATGCTACTCTTCTATTTTTTGTTTTGAAAAATATTTATCATAAAACATCATGTCTACATATAATTGGTTTACTAATTTTAAATGAGTTAATAAATATATCATTTTTAAATTGCCAGTTTTAATTTTTAATAGAGCAAATATTGATTAACATAGCTCAAACAAAAGCTCTTGGGGAGGGGGTGGTCCTCAAAAATTTTTAAGGGAGCAAAGGGGTCCTGAGGACAAAAAGGTTGAGAAGCTGCCATAATAAAATCTATTACATAGGAAGTTGCCAATATTGTGTATATATTTCACAGAAATTCTTGGGAAACACAGTGAAATAATAGAAATGCTACATAATAACTAATATTTATATAGAGCTTGCTATGTTCCATATGCTGAGCTAAATACTTTGTATTTCTCACAACAACCCTGGAAGGTAGGTGCTATTATTATTATCTCCATTTTACATATGAGGAAAGTGAGGTAAACAGAAGTTAGGTGACTTACCCAGGGTCGCACAGCTAATGCCTGAGGCCACATTTGAACTGAAGTCTTCCTAGCTCTAGATTTTGTACTTGCTGCAACACCTAGTTGCCTCTATAAAAAGTTTTCTAATTGAGTCTTGTATCGTGGCCCTTTATAGAAATGATGCGTAAAAAGAGAACTAAACATAGACTACACACAAGTAAATTGAAGGGAGCGGCACTATGAAGGGGGGATAAGAAAAGGTTGAAGAGATGGCAGATACTTGTTCAGCTAGGAATTACCTGAGATAGAGGAGAGGAAGAAGAGCATTACAGGAAAGATGAACATTTTATACAAAGATATAAAGGCAAGGAATGAATGCTGAATGAATGAATAAATGAACGCATGAACAAATGAATGAATGCAAGCAAAACATTTGTTAAGTGTTTATTTACCATGTTCAAAACACTGTGCTGAGTACTGAGGATACAAAGAGAAAAGCAAGACAGTCCCTACCCTCAAAGAGCTCACATTCTAATAGGATGAAATAAAACATAAAAGAGGTTTTAGCTACAGTCAGATGGAAAGGCTCCAAAGGTCCTTAGTGTATAGGAAACAAATAGTGATGAATCTTCTTAAATGTCATTTCCAATGATAAAACCATATCAGTTTCTGATGTGATGTTGAAATATTTAGAGTGCTAGGAACTTTTGTGGCAAGAACTTCTTTATTAGGTTGTCACTATCAATGTACTTCATCTGCAGAGAAAATTGCAGTCCTACATCTATGCATGGGTTGCTTCCCTATGGAAAGCCAAGATAAGAACAGGACATCTGTGGAAGCCAGGAGAGAAGTGGGGCAGAAGTTCTAGGGGTGTCTTGCCTCTCAGATCTTTGGGGATTACCTGCCCACTGGGGGCAGTTGGTCAGTGGCTTAGTTTGGCGGTGGTGGTAGTGGGTTTTTTCTTCTCAATTATGGCTACAAGGACGAAGCTGAAGGCTGGGCCTGTTGTCAAGGGTGGGGGTAAGAGGAAGGCACAATGCTATTCCTTGGGTCCTTGGGCTTACCATTCTGAGTTATCTCCACCAAGGGTATACAGTGATAAAATAATCAGACCCACCCGGCACATGCCACTTTCTGTCTCTCCCTCAGAGCCAAGCTAGAAGCCTAATGTTGGGGACACTGAAGTTCCCAGGGTTATTTGGATTATCTAGCTATCAGTGGCAACTGATAACACGTTAGTGACGGTAGTGGTGGGGATGCTGGGGGTCGTTCCCCTTGATAATGGCCAGAAGGGTTAAGCTGAAAGCAGGATCTGTGTGTGGAGCTGCTGCTGTTCCAGGGCTCTTGGGCCTCTCTGCCCATTGATGGTAGTTGACATAGTGATAATGGTGCTGGGAATGGTTGGGCCACAGGAATCCTGAAAGAGACAAGCCAGGGTGGATTGAAGGTATGGGTACAAAACAGTCAGTGTTAACTGGAGAAGTTAGGAGAGAGTGATTTCAGAGGGAAACCCTTGGTGGGAGCCCACAGTAGGAGTGATTGCAATAGCCCTGGAAACTAGCAGGGAGGAACAGGGGCTATGGAGTGGGGGAGGAGAGAAGGAAGACCTTAGGCTGAGCTTAACACAGGGGGAAGGCTGGAGCCCCTGATGGCAAAAAAGAGAACCTCAGGAAAACACAGCACTGGAATAGTCCTGAAGTCTCTTGAAAGAGTCTCGGACCCCACCCTCAGGAACATGCAGGACCAAACTGCTCCAAGTACAGGACCCTCAACCTAGACATTGAGTTTTCTGAGATGTGCAAACCAAGAAAATCACCAAATACAAAAGACAAGCAAGGAAAAAATGACACTTCAGAATTATTAGTGGAAAATCTCACAGAAGAAATGAGTGTCTTGAAAATTAGAATGAACTAACAGCTCAACAAGAAATATTACAATAAAATCACAAAATTTAAAAATAAACAATAAAATGTAAGAAATATAATATCAAAAAACAATCGAGTAGTAAAAGAGAGATGCTTTAACAGACTAATAGAAAATCATGATCATATTTTTCAAAGCTTGCATATCACACTTCAAGATATTATAAATTATAACTGTCAAGAATTCTTAGAACCAGAGAGCAAAATAAAAATATGACTAATCTCCTCAGGAAAGAAACCCCAAAAGGAAAATTCCCAGAAATGTCATAACAAAATCTAGAGCTTTCTACAGGTAGCCAACAAGATAAAACTTCAAAGAATAATGAGCTACTGTAAGGATCACATGAGATTATAAGGATCACATGAGGTTATAAGGATCTGAGAAAATATCTAGTCCTCCATCTTAACCAGTCATGTGAACAAGCAGTTTTCAAAGGAAGAAATCAAAGCTATTAATGACCTTATAAATATGCTTCCAATTACTAATAATTAGAAAAATTCAAATTAAAACAACTCTGAATTTCTACCTTCCATCCACCAAATTGGCAAAGATGACAAAAGGGGAAAATATCAAATTTTGGCGAGGCTGCAGGAAAACAGGCAACTGATAACGCTTGCTGGCAGAACTGTAAAATGGACCAGGCATTCTGAAAAGCAATTTGGAACTGTGCCCTCAAAAGAACTAAATTGTGCATATTCGCTGGCACAAGGCCTATATCCAAAGAGACCAAATAAAGAGAAAAGACACACAGATACATACAAAATTGTAGTTCCTCGTTTTTTCATAGTAGCCCAAAACTGGAAGCTAAGGGGACAACCACCTATTGAGGAATGCGGATAGGAAG